TAATAATAATAATAATAATAATAATAATAATAATAAAACGTTGCAAATCTGGCTTAGTCTTGCCTGGGACAACTCTGCAAAATGTTCAGTTTTGAATTTTTTTGAGTCGCCAACTTTTATGTATTGTAAGCCAGGTTAGGTCAAACTTTGCTAAAAGCCAAATCAGAATCAATTAAGTGCAGTCAGTTTCAGGCATTCCTGGTATAAATTATTTTATCTAATTAGGAAATAAAGAGCATCTTTACAGGAGTTAACTTCCGATGAAGTAGAAGAGGATATGGGAAGCGCTGTACAAGACTTCTTCACCCATATACTTCCATCACTATTTCTTTGCCTTTCAACAGGACCCTGTCGAACCGTGAAGCAATCGTATATCAGCTGTTTACGAAATAACACACCAAATCTTGTTCAACTTTACGAAGAACGACCACATCAGCTTTCATTACCAAAACTGCTTCAAATTTGGGTGGTTAAATATCGGCTTATCAAAAGTACCATTCAGAAGTTACATCGGTTTGTCAAAGACCTTTTTCAAAGCACTAAACAGTTTGTTACAAAATGCTGTCAGATATGAATTCAAGAAGTGACTTATAGTTAAGCGAAAACACTCACCAATGTTTTCAGAATTGTGGTTGAATCTGAAAGCTTAGAAAAATCATGCGCAACAAATTTCGGAACTGTTGCATTCTGCGGTCCAGAATGCTCACAACAAGAAACCGGCCACATCGTCGGATATTGCAGAAATTCCTGTCAGAATGCTGTAAATAAATGCTTGCAAATCGATATAGAAGAGTGGGACACATTTATCTCGATTTTAAGCAAGCTAATGGATGACTTTGACAAAGGTTTCGAGGAGGTGAGAATGAGGGGTCATCATATCACGCTTGACACATATTAACCATCTTTTTGTCTACTTCGCAGGGTAAACTAATGTTTTGCTTAGTCTTTTCTAGCTCTAAACAGTTATCGGTTACAGCAACACGAGTTTTCTGTTTTTTCTTGTTCTGCATTGTTTCAACTTTCTGATCCTGAAATCTTTTAATCCGAAAATTCATTGAATCATACATAGCAGGAATTAAAAATTTTCGTCGAATATGTATCTGATCTATGTCGACAGATCTAATCAACGAGTTTGCCCTGAAATGATAGTTTCAACGTGACTTGCGGTCTTATTGAATTGTAAACAAAGCCATCGGGTCGTTTTAGAACAATTGGCAAAGAAATTGATTTGTCCAGAAAATGTGTTCTTCGGACATTAATAAGATCGATTGCTACAACAGAAACTTAGAGCGTCTACCTCAGTTTCAATCACTTTCTATTTATTAATAATAATACGGAAAAATTTCTTTTGTACTTTTTTCAACTTCAATTTATTTAAAAGTTAGACTTGATTGCTGTTGATAAACAAATGTACAGGGTACTGTTATAATTAAATGAGAAGTGAAACCACATTGTTCCACATCAGCAACTTCCATATTATTTTGCTGCTATTTGCTGTACTGTGCGAAGTCAAGTTTATCCATTCATTCTAGGCTTATATGCTCAAAAAATTTGTTGACGAAATTATTGCACTGCCGTATCAGCAGTCATTTACTTTAACTAATAATAATCCTAGGATACAGTTTCTCTAAAAACAGAAATAATATTAATGGTATAGAGTTGGTAGAAAATGGTATTTAAACAATTTGATTTCTGTCTGTCTCAAAATTGACTGTTAAATTTTCAGTTGGAGAAGGAAATCATTCGTTCGATCGCATATATTATGGAAGTTCAATCACTAGTTCTTGCAAAAGCAATGTACCTCAGATGCGGGATGCTAAAGTTGGTAAAGGATCAGCAACAACCCATTGAAATTTCTTACGAAAAACCAGAGATAAAGCAAAAGGAAACAGTTCACTTGATTACTGAAGTAGAGTACTATCAATTGTCATTAAATTTTTGGTTTGTGTTCGTGATTACTCTAGTTATTTTTTCAAAATTTCTGTCAGTAGAAATTGCGGTAGATAAAATGCAGTCA